ACGACCTATCTTCTATGCGCAAATGGCTACCGTATTCAAAAATATGCTATTTTTCTATTAAAATTCTAGGTTTTGTATTTTATTTTATTTTAAAATATCTTATTAGGAGAATACATGGTGAAAATAGCTACCGTATTTAAAAATATGCTATTATTGTGTTAAAATTCTTGGTTTTGTATTTTATTTTATTATAAGGGGATTACACTGATTTTCATAAATATTATATCAATCTAAATGACATAGTATAAAAAATTAATCATACTTAAATTTTTTTGTTTCTTTGAAGTCGAGAAAAATAACTTTAAAATTTGAACTAGCTAAATTTTCATTTTTATTAAGTGACGAATGAGACGTACGGTTTTTTAAACGGTAACGCTTGAGTCTTTCACGACTGTAGCACTGAATTTTTTTTTAATTCTTTTTGAGTTAAAAAAAAATGTGTTAACTCATTTGATTTTTATCTCATTTAGATTCAATAACTTCAATAAATATCAAGGATTCCATTACTGTAGTCTCCTCTCTTGAGAAGAAATTCATATTAATATTATTTTACTATGTGGTTTTTTTATTGTAGCTATCATTTATTTTCTCAGCTCTCATTTGACAAATTTTTTTTTTAAATTAATCATAATCTACAGATTTGATCGAAGCGTTTTTTATGATAGTGATTTTAATCACTGTTAGATATCATTATACTTAGCCCAACTATGCCACGACCCTCCTGTGTTGGTTTTTTTTATTATTACTTGTCTTCTTTTAAAGCGTCTATCTAAATTTTGAAAAATGATTTAAAAAATTTAGGGCGGGACTGTTTTTTCTTTTTCTACAGATTAGCATCTTTAAAAAGCGATCATCTATTTTATAGAGTTTTTAGATTATCTAAAGAAACATGTAACGCTCAAAATTATATTGTGAATAGTCTTCCTCAGTGTTAATTTCATTATAAGCCCTGTTTACAATAAATTTACTTTTGATTCTTAACCCCTTACTTTTAAAAGCAGATATCCACATTTCTATCCTTTGATTAATGTCCTCCCTATTTTCTCTTATTACACTATATTGTTAGTGTATATTGTTATATTTCACTTATATATATTGTCAGCGAACAACATGCATCACGATACCTCTCCTTATATTTCTCAAGTAATTTCATCCATCACTATAGAACTCTAAAATATTCGATCTAAATCATGATGCACTAAAAATAAAATTAAGAAGCTAAATGTATTTGATGACTAATTATTACTTAATGAAAAGCGTATAACTAAACATATTCACATTTATGTTCATAAAAAAAATAATGAATGCACCCTATTCAAATATGTCTATAAAATCATTCATAAAATTTACTAATTGTTAGTGTTCATATCTCCAAATATCCCCTTACTATTACCCCTGTTGTTTTGTCAACATTCAATTGTTAAGATAAATTATTTTACTTATAGTTATTTTTCTTTTCAGTAATTTAAATTTATTTTTTAAGTAGATGAACAAATGTTTTGGATAATTTAATTAGGATTTACTATTTTTTGATAAGAACCAATTGCTGTGTATAAATTTGAGAACACATTTTTGATAAAATTTAATCATTTTTTCAACACTGTGCTTGTAGTTAAAATGTTTAAAAGTTTTATGATGGTAATATTTTTTTGAATTAATAACTGTAATTTTTAGAATTAAGTTAAAAATTTAAAATTAATCATACTAAGTTATGTAATAATGCATTTTATTTAGTATTACTGAACATGATAAAATTATATATTAGATCAACTTTAGTTGATATAATTTATAAAATGAAAATATTAATAAACGAGTTACTAGGTCTTATGTGTAAACTTATCTAAGATAAAATGAACATTTAATTTTTATATGAAAAATATTGAAATTATATTTACATATGTATTTCATATATTAAAGTGACAGTATAAAATAACATATGTATTATTTTTTATAAATCAAAATATTTATTAAAGTTAACTTAATTATTGAATGCTTGGAAAATTTTAGCTTTGTAAATTTTTTTAAGTACCATTGTTGAACTTAAAAAATAAAGTTAACAATCTTTTATTGTTATCAAGATAACTAAAAATGAAATAATATTATATTTTAATATAAAGCATAACAATTAATATTAATTTTATATCATAATGTTATTGATAACGTTTTTGTTTACAGTGACAATGGAATTAAATCTAAATGTTTTTGATGACTATACTAAATCATCTTTAATAAAAGGTAATCTTTGAAATTATTCTTATTTATATTAGATTCTTTTTGTTAGTAAAATATTATTCTATAATAGAATAATAAATAATAAATATTTACTTGTATTACAAGTTAAATTATTTATTATTTATTTTTAAATTTGTTTTTGTACATTTGTAATAATAATGAATTATTTATTTAATAAATAGGTAACTAGAGTTATAAATTCATAGAAGAAATTTATAACTATGTTGGTAAGGTTGAAGTTTTTAGTGGAGCCTTAGGCAAATTTATGCTTTTGTTTCATACAATGTAAACAATAATAAGACCAAGTTGAACTTTTTTTTTTTGTTTATTATTTCCTTTTGTGCCCCCATTTTGATTATTTAGCATCTCTTTTGGTACAGTATCTAAAAAAATGCCTTAACTACCATATTCTTACTATGGTTTTTGTCCATTGAGTCAAGTTTTTATTTTACTTGCTGGTGTAAGTCTAATCCAGCTTATTAAATCTTAAATAAAAGAAATGAAACAACAGTAAATTTTATCATTTATCCAGTAAAATTTTAGTGTAGATGTCACACTTGTAGTATTAGAATTTCATCTTGCACATTCCCTTAAAATTGGAGACCCAAATTTATGATTTCATCTATTTTTTTCTATTGCAAAAATTAATGGAAAATCACTTCCAAAAAGTAACTTAATTATAAGTTTGATACTTATTTTAACATATAATAAAACTATTTTATTTCAAAATAAATTAAAAATTTGTTCTACTAGTCATTATATAATTGTTATTAATGACTTGGTGCCAAAGAACCATTGCTACATTTTTTACTGTCAGTATTATAGTTTCAAAAAAACAGCATAGGACTAGATTCTGGGGATACATAGGAAGGAGTGGAATACCTTCACAATAACTACTTTAATTACATAATCGTTTATTTTATCCATTTCAGGACCAGTTAAGAAATTAAAGATCATTTTTAATCACGTTTATGGTGATGAATCAACTAATTAAATTTCATACAAAGTATCTCCACAAAAAAATGAAAGTTCCATAAGAGTTGTCACATTTATGACTCTTTATAAATGAATATAATGCATATGAAAATATGTTATAAAATAGCAATATTGAAGTTATCGTTATTTATTTTACCATTTTTTGGCAACTTAAAATTTTTAGTTTAATTTCTTAGTCACGCTGGCTAGCCAACATCTTAGGGGCACAAAAATTATGACGGCACACCTCGCTTAAAAAAAATATTTGTATTGCTCCATAATAAAAAATTATGAGCAAAAATAAATATTATTAATCAAATTATATAGAAAATCATTTCTTATCATTAATTAAAAAATAAAAATTCTCTAATTCTGATACTGTAAAGTAATCCCATTACAGTGAAGTAATTGAAATTACTAAATTAGACTATACTAATATATAATTTAAAAATTGTGCTGTAGACAAATGATTAATATTGGGCATTAAAAAAAATTTTTTATATTTTTTAATGTTTTAGAAGGTCTTTTGACATCAAAAATTATATTTAATCACACAGAATTAGAATTAAGAAAAAAAGCAAATTTGACAGTTTCTGCTGCTAGAAAAGTATTTATTGAAGCTTCTAAAATAAGTTTATTACAGCAAAAGTAATTTTATAATTTCTCTTGGTATTAATATTTTATAAAAATATAACTTAATATTCATTGGTTTGTAGCATGAAAATTTCAAACCAAGTTATCACTACTGGATGTGAACAAATTGATATAATGTTGGGAGGTGGTCTTTTCCAGCACGGAATCACAGAGCTTTCTGGAGAAAGTGGCTGTGGTAAAACACAGTTTTGTTTACAAGCCGCACTTACTATTCAGTTACCATCATCATTAAAGGGAGCAAAGTCTGGTAGTTATTTAAAATTTGTATTTTCACTTATGAAATTACTTTAACTTGAGTATTCAAATCAGGAGCTGTGTATATTTGCACAGAAGATCATTTTCCTTCAAGTAGAATACAACAAATGATAAATAATTTACCATCTAAATACCAGAATAATAGTAAAATTGAAAGGTTAGAAGTATCTCAAGTGGATTTTGGGGACAACATTTTAATCAACCTTGTTACTACAGTTGTAATGTATATTTTAGGATTTTCGATGGCTGAAACATTTTCTTTTGATATCTATGTATTTTAATGTTTTTCAGGAAGACTTGAAAAAATGTATTTATAGTATGCTTCCTAAAGTACTAAATCATAAATCTATAAAACTCATTGTTATTGATAGTATTGCTGCTGTTTTTCGTGGAGAGTATGAAAAGAATGAAATGCATCGTAGATCAAAAGATCTAAGAGATATTGCGTGTTGGCTGCATAAATTATCAGTAAGATATGGATTATGGGTTATTTGTGTGAATCAGGTATAATGTGATTTAATTTTAATTTTAGGGATAATAATTAATTTTTTTATAGGTAACATCTTCACTATCAGATATTGGTGGTAAAAATTTAGTCCCATCTCTAGGATTATCATGGGCTAATCTAGTAACCACACGATTGTTAATGTCTAAAATATTGTCTACTAGATTTCTAGAAGTGATATTTAGTCCTCATGCTGCATCCAAACGTATTCCTTTTATTGTCACAGATAGAGGAATTGAAGCAAGAGAGCATATTGATTCTTAAAATATTTCATTAAAAGTCAATTATAATACTTCATATTAAATAAAATTTCAATAAGATACAATTTATTATGAAAATACTTTTTATATTTTATAAGAATATATATGTAATTATTAAATAATATTTATTAATTTGTTTGAATGCTTTAAATTTCTTTACTTTTTTTATTTATAACCAAATTATTATTCAAATATGAGAGATGCAGATGCATAACTCACAGAAGAATCACTCATATTATAACATTGGCTAGATTGAGCATATTTCAGAAACTTCAAAAACATTTTTTGTTGATTTTGAGAAGATTTTTGTAGATGATTAGCAGCCTAAAATGAAATAAATTACATAATGTTAATCACAAATTAAATTAAGTTATAAAATATAAAGTAATATATATATATATAAAATATATTAATACTCTGAATTCAATAAAGGCAATAGAAAACAATATAAAATTTGGTGGATAAAAATATAGTAGTGTTGTTTTTGTTAACTTAAAATTCATTTTTAAAATATTATAGTTCCTATATTTAAAGTTTCAGATCTTTATGCTGAGAAAATTACGGATTTTTAACACTAGTTGGGTGGTAAAAAAAAAAAAAAAACTGTATAACAATAGTTGTCTCAGGCTTAGGGTTTAAAAGTGTCATTCTATAGAAATGAAATTATTCGTAGATTGACTTATTTAGAACCAAATATTATAATCACTTTACATTGTATAGAATTTTGAAAAACAACAAAATTGGTTAAAATAACCAAAACTAATAATTGAATAATTCTTTGGTTCAAGTAAGACAAGTTGAACAACTTTCCAAGAGAAAACTAAAAATTTAAAAACATTTATAGAACAAATCTAATTTATATTTTTATCTCAGATTAAATTCTTCTTATATCAAAATATGGAATTGCAATTAAAAAGAATGAAATACTTAACTAACATTTTTAAAAGACCTAAGAATTTTTAAGTAAAATTAAAATAATGTAAGTTAATTTTTCATGGTTTTACTGGAGAAAAAAAAATTCTATTTTTGAAGGTTGGCCACAATTTACAAAAGAAAGTTTTTGAAACACAAACATAAAAATGTACAAGAGATTAAATAAAGATGTTAAAAATATGTGTCTAAATTGAAATCAAGAATTTAAAAAATATAAATAGTAATATCAAAATTTTGACTCAAATTTTTTTGCTATAGAGGTGTAAATATATACATAAAAAAATTTTTTTATCAAAGCTATGAAAATATTTTAGATTAAAATATTTATTATATCAAATTATACACACCTGTAATAAGACACTGATTGGGTGTCGACCACATATTGTATTTGAAAAAGTTTTTAAATATTCTACAAATGCTGATGGATCTAAGGTTTCAATTATATCCATACCTTTATGATCTAAAGTTTTAATTGATTGATGAATTTCCCCCCAAGACCGTTCATAGAATGTATAACGAAAACGTTGACCCCAATGACAAAAATCTGAAGAAATAACAAACAAATTTGTTGGATCTGCCAAATATTTTGAGAATATTTGACCATAGAGTGCTTCTTTTTCAGTACTCAATGAACCAACCATTACAGGTATTATGGTAAATTTATCTTTATAACTACAATAAATATAATTTTGTGAAAATATATTATATAAAATGAAAATATTTTAAGATTTTATCATTACTCTTGCATAACTTTGGCAATATATGGTAGTTGCATTTCCATGCTATGTTCATCTTCATCAACTTTAAGACTCATTTGCTCAAATTTACCAGTAGACTCCAGCTCTCTATAAACTAAAAAAAAATATGAATATATATAAATAAGAATTGCAATATTATAAAGACAAAATTACTTTCACTATCTATTTTTAAATCATAAAATGGTGTTCGGTATTTAACAGCACTTGATAATGCACATCCAGAAAGACGAACATTGTGTGAAGGACCAAGAATGAAAATACGTTGCCTGGAAAAATATTGGATAATTAATTGTATAAAATTGAGTTTACTATTACTTACACTACAAAAGGACTTATCTGACGATATGCAAAAGCTGCACATGCTCCACAATATTGATAACCAGCATGACTAAATAAAATATACTAGGATTAATGTATGTTTTAAAAAATAAATTACAAATTACAATCAATCAAATAATAATGTAATTTAATATATTTAAAATTGATTTTAACATTTTAGAATAATAAGTAAACATACGGAGCTATGATTGCTCTAGCAGGTCCATGAGAGAGATCTGCAGCTCCTAACCAATTTTCAAGTTGATTACTAAGCTCTTTTGCTGTAAAAATTACGATAACGATTGATTCTTAGTCAATGTTTTTTCTAATAGGTTGAAATAAGAGAAGTATACATTTAACTGAAGCAAATGTAATTTCTTACCAGAATCTGAATACCAACTTCCTGCATGACTAGCTCTACGCACTGCCATTTTTAATACTAATTAGTTATGATACAAAAGATATATCACCTAAGAATATTTAATATTAAAAGTAATAATTAAAAATTATTTAATAGTAAATTTAGTCAAACATTTGAATTAAATGCACTCTATGAATAATTGTAAGAATCAAATTAATAATACATAATGATAATGTAATATTGTAATAGATTTTGATAACGTGTATTTAACAGAGCAGCCATAAGTGTCTTCAATAATATTGTAATTTACAGGTATCTAAATCGATGGTAACCATGTTGCACGTATGGCAAAATGATGAAAATTCAATATGTGTTTAAGTGTGTTCATGAATGCGTAACGTGTGGATTAATTATTAGCCGTGAGTGTAATGAATAATTACTTAAAATACTGTTGATTGACAATTACTTTTTAAGTGATTAGCCTAAACTTCGAGATAACCGTTAAACAAAGAGTTATAATTTTATGTAGTTGGCTTTTAGACGTCTAATTCTATAAAATAGTAATGTTTCTAGCCCGGTTTATACCTATAAAAAAAATTATTATTTAATAAAACTTAAGTTTGAGTTTGCTCTGTAACCTTTTAGTTTTGCTACCTAATGAAATAAGTTCTAATTTCAGTAAACATTGAATAACAATGTCGGCTTCAGCAATTTATATTTTGGATGTAAAAGGCAAGGTTTTAATATCTCGTAATTACAGAGGCGATATTGCTCCAAATGTCATTGAAAAGTTTATGCCGTTATTAATGGAAAAAGAAGAGGAAGGCTCGTTGACTCCCTTGTTGCAAACAGAAGAATGCACTTTTACGTACATTAAATGTAATAATCTTTATGTAGTATCTACAACTAAAAAAAATGCAAATATTATGTTAGTATTTGTTTTTCTTCATAAAATTGTACGTGTAATGAATGAATATTTTAAAGAAATTGAAGAAGAAAGCATTCGTGACAATTTTGTTGTTATATTTGAATTACTAGATGAACTTCTTGATTTTGGATATCCACAAACAACTGATAGTAAAATATTACAAGAGTACATTACTCAAGATGGTCATAAACTTGAAATACAACCAAGAATTCCAATGGCTGTGACTAATGCTGTGTCCTGGCGCTCTGAAGGGCTTAAATATCGTAAAAATGAAGTATTTTTAGATGTCATAGAATCTGTCAATTTATTAGCTAGTGTAAACGGAAATGTATTAAGAAGTGAAATAGTGGGTTCAATCAAAATGAGAGTATATTTGTCTGGCATGCCTGAGCTTAGGTTAGGGCTTAATGATAAAGTTCTCTTTGAAAGTACAGGACGAGGTAAATCCAAATCTGTAGAATTAGAAGACGTAAAATTTCATCAGTGTGTACGACTATCAAGATTTGAAAATGATAGGACTATATCATTTATTCCTCCAGATGGTGAATTTGATTTAATGACTTACAGGTATTGTTTATTTGTAAATTATTTATTCAATATATTTAATCAGAAATAATTCAAATTTTTATTACAGATTGAGTACTCATATAAAACCTCTAATTTGGATTGAAAGTGTTATTGAGAGGCATGCTCACAGTCGTGTTGAGTACATTGTAAAGGCAAAATCACAATTTAAAAGGCGTTCTACTGCTAATAATGTCGAAGTTGTCATTCAAGTTCCAATGGATGCTGATTCACCTAAGTTCAAAACTACTGTAGGGTCTGTTAAATATATGCCTGAACAAAATGCACTTATATGGTCAATTAAATCATTCCCGGGTGGCAAAGAGTATTTGATGAGAGCTCATTTTGGTTTACCAAGTGTTGAGTGTGAAGAAATTGAAGGTAGACCACCAATTCAAGTTAAATTTGAAATTCCATACTTTACAACATCTGGTATTCAAGTTAGATACTTAAAAATTATTGAAAAAAGTGGTTATCAAGCTTTACCATGGGTACGATATATTACTCAAAATGGAGACTATCAATTAAGGACAAATTAAAAACTTTTTTTTTTTTAATATTTAATTTCTTGTAAAAAAGTTTAAAAAAATGATTTTAATATTAAATGAGCTGTTTTATAATTTTAATAATTAAGTCATTTTGTTAATCCGTCCTAATTGTTGTATTATTCAATTTACCATTTTTAATATTTTCATTGTTTTTTCAATTTTTCCATTAGTTAAAGAATATTAAAAGACATAATTAACTTTTATAATTTTAGTCAAATTTTTATTGATTTATATTGCCCTGGTAATTTATAGATGTATTTTAATAATATATTGGTTATTTAAAATAGTAAATAGAGGTTCAATAGCCTACACTATTAAAATTATTTTTTAAGACAAATTCTCAGAGTTTTTTATCATTATTAACTTATTCTCATTGTTATTTATTTTAATCAGTTCCAATTAAATAATTAATTATTCTCTAAAAAATTAATTGTATTTTTTTCTTATCTAAAATGTTTGTGCTCCTTACTATATATTTTATGTAAGATGATTAATTAACTATACCTCATGCAATATATTTAAATAATATCAAACCTAATATATTTTTTTCTATTCAGAAGTTGATATTATTTTAAGGGGTGCGAGAAGGGTAGGACCAATTGTGTTTTTGAAAATTATAGAACATATAAACTTTTGATAAGAAAAAATTATAGTATTTTATAATCTTAATTATATTTTGTCTGCATAGTTAATTCATCACTTTGTATGTACAAGCTGATTAATTTATCATGAACCACTTAATTAATCAAAAAATTAAAATATGAAGATTTTTTTTTTGTTTTAGCTACATAAGTATTTCAATTTATTTGTTATAAAATAATTTTTATGTCCATCACCTATATCTTATAGTAATAGTTGAAGGTAAGAAGTGGGTGTTATTATTTTTATCACTAACATTTTCCATCTATACTCTTCCTACTGCCTAAGTATTAACATGTCAATAACTTCTGAAATACTGGTCCAAAAGTTGTTATTTAACCAGTTATTTTCTTATTTAGATCATTATTAAATAAGCTAGTTAATTAATTAGGCATATAATTATAATTATAATAAAATTGACACTCATATAAAGTATAAGGTATGAACATAAAAATTCTTTATAATTGATAAATTGAGAAAAACATATACCTTAAAGAATCCAATTAAAAAATTATTTTTATTTTTTGATTAATTAAGTGGTTCATGATAAATTAATCATTCTGTATATTCATATATAGTGAGGGGCAGTTTACTGTTTCTCTCACAGTTTTTTACCTTATAGTAAATAACTTAGGTTATTATTATACTTATTTTAGATAAAATAAAATTAATTTTTCCGAGAAAGTTCTCATAACTACAAATATTATTATTGACACAAATAAAAAGGTGTTAATAGGACTTAAGCAACTTCAATTTAAAAATTATGGAAAGATTATTATAAAAATAATTATATGAATTTGACAAACTATTATTTAAAGAACAGAAATGTACACATTCAACTACTCGTATTTTATGAGATAAAATTATATTGATAAAACAAAGTTTACTATACGAAATAAATTATTAGGAAATATGTACGTTGTAGAGGAGTTTATAATACATTATATTCCATGAACGTTTATATATTTAATACTCATCTAATACAATGGAGATATACCTTGGAAAAGTTTAGTTCAGTCGTGTAATTAAGGTTTTGTTTTAATGGAAATATACATAACAAAATGTTTGCTTCTCCCTCTAAATGAAATGTAAATATTAAATTTGTTTTGAGGAGATCTATCACATTCATTCCCACAAGGGTGACATTTGCGGATCATGGAGTTCACATTTACATTCTTAGATTCTGTAGTAATAATTTGGCTCCATAAGCTACAGTCTATTTAGCCTCAAGATAAAAGATAAGAAATTTTCTTCACAATTCATTCTGTAGTATATAGAGTGTTCAGTCAGTAACGAAACGTAATATTTAAAATAACTTTTAGTTTTTTATAAAAGTTTTTATTAAAATCACTATAAATATTATTTAAAAATTTTTAAAAAAAATTACTTGTAAAATATCAGGTCAAATATATACAGTTTTTTAGAATACCTAAAATTTTTAACGCGACATATTAAAGATGTACTCAGGAACATGTTAAAAAGAGTATGCAAATGCCCCTAGGCGTCAAAATATATGATCACATTTTTTAAAGTAAAACTTTACAGAGTTGTCCGAAAAAAAAGATTATCACTCATCACAATTGACCGTCTCGGACGGATTCTATTGTTTTATTAGGTATACGGTCACAATTTTATAGTTTTATGAACGTAAACGTAAATGAATTCTATTGTTCTATTAGGTCAAAATCTTATTGTTTGATGAACGTATAAGTTCAATAAATGTGTTCGTTTGATAAATGCGTGTGCCAATAAACGTCTATAATAATATAAATAAATATTTTGAATTTTAAATTCATACGACTTGATTTTTAATATTAAAACAATAAGATATCAAGAGGACATCTTATTCAGTTTTATTTAAAATTGTATAAACAACTGCTTTTATTGAAAAAAGAAACTTGTAGTACAGAGGAATGCAATCTTTTAAAAGCAACATGAAATCCTATTTCCTTCATTATTCCAGATTAGTAGATCTTTAATCTAGAAATATAATTTATTAAATATAGTTTGAAATTGATATTTAATAATGTTGTATTGAAAGTTTTACGGAGAAAAAATAAAAAATGATAAAGTAGTAAATTTTGTTACTTCTATGATAAAAATTAAAGGACTTTATGCAATACTTTATAAAAAAAAAATTTTCCGAAACATTTTCAAAAATTAAGTTACAAAAGTTTAATTTGTGTGCGAAAATTGCTTTTTTGAATCTCCTCCTGTGGGGAGATCAAGTGTCAGATTTTAGACAAATTTATATTAAATGAAAGGGAAATATCCATTAAGTTTCCATTAAAAAAAAATATTTTTATTCGTTCATTTTAAACAAAGTTATGGCAGTTTTAAGTATCAAAATATTAACATTAATAACGGTGATTTTTACATAAAGATTACATTTTTATTCAATTCGGCGGCCATTTGCCCATAGAAGAAAAGGGTCGGGTCAAAATTTGTTATTGAACATGTAGTATTTAACATAAGCTTTAATTTGACATATATTTAATGTTCGAAGTATTTCCAGAACATTTTAAAAAGTTAAGTTGAAAAAGTTTTTAAGCCCCCTTGTATATAAATTGATTTAAAAAAAAAGTATGTCGGCTGAATGGTGTATGTATAAAGTATTTATCAAAAAAAAATTATTGGTTCATACATTTTTTAAAAAGTTATAGCAATTTAAAGTTGAAAAATTAAAATATGAAATCGTAAATTTTAACACCAAAATTGCACGTTTTTTAACTATGTCAACCATTTACACATAGAAGATAAGTTGTCGAGACAAATTTTTTTTTTTTTGAACTTATAGTACATAACATAATATTTATTTTAACATATATTTGAAGCTCGGAGTATTTCTGGATCATTTTCAAAACTTAAGCTGCAAAAATTAAATTATTGTGTAGAAGTTGCTATTTTGAATCCCCCTCTGTGAGCAGGTAAAGGGTCAGGTTTTCAAAAATAGTATATCAAATAAAAGGGAATTATTTTAGGTATCACTATAAAAGAAAAATTATTTTGATTTGTTAATTTTTAAATAAGTTATGACAGTTTTTAGAAAAAAAATTATTAAAAATGTCAAAATTTACCGATTTGGTAATCGTAATTTTTTGGGAGATTTTCACTACGGTGAATGAGGGCAAAGATATCTATTTTTGAAGGTAATGTCTTCAACTAGATACGATTTTTTGACGTATCGTTAATAAAATGGGTCTAGTGAGATCTGAGAAAAAGTGGCAACAAATATATAAAAAAAAAACATGTTATAGTAAAATTAATACCTTCTTAGCTTCGCATCGTAGCTAATATTTATTTTTAATTATATTTCTTACATTATAATAACAGCAATTATAAAATCTATTAGTAATACACATTAATTTATAATTTGATATCAATATTTTAATTCACTTTATGTAAATTTGAAAAATGCACTGTATTTTTTATTTTAAATAATTCACCAATAACAATTATTAGCCCAGCATTGGATGTGTCGTGTTGGTAACCAGTTTTTTTTTTAGAACTCTCCTTTTATACTCCTTTGATACTCAGTTTGTATGAATTTTTTACTCGATTTTTATCCGGTATTCGGTTAATACATGTATTGTCTACTCGAAACATCTTTAGTTAAAATTATTATCATAAAAAAAGATTAGAATATTTAGATAAATGTATAATTTTTGAAAGATTGGTTTGGTTATTATCTTAAGGGATACATAAAATATATAATTAATCAAAACGAAAAATTAAATGTTCTTAATTTTATTTTTATTTTTTGATTTACTATCAAGTAAGTTATAATTTATAATAAAATAATCACTGTGTGTTATATATAATTATTATTTAATAATTAAAAATAAAAAGTTATGAGGTGATAATACCATTGGCGTAATGATAGGGGAGATATAGGTATCATATTTCCTTCATGTCAAAAATAATTATATGGTAAAGGAACGTTTTTTTTTGTTTGGGAGGGAAAGTCAACAATTTTCTTATGAAAATTAATCCAAGATGAAACCTTTATTATGTCACTGTATGCCATCTAACAAATTTTTACTTACTTTTTATATTATGCTTAATCTATTTACGAAAATTTACTTCAACTTTATTAAATTTTTAATCTTTACAAATATCTTTAATTATTTTTATCAATGATATATTTTTTATGGTTTAATTAAACTTTTATTTCTTTTATTTATACGTTTATTTAATTCAATAATCAGTAATAATTGATGATGGTTTATCACTGAAACTAGTAGTTACTATATTTTATGCAATAGGTTTAGTTTAGTTTACTTTAATTTTATACTAATAAATAATTATTTATAAATTTAAACAGTACAAAAAATGATTTATTATATACAGTTTATATAAGTAAAAAAATAATAATGTAGCTGTAATAGTTGAATAATATTAATTTATGTAGGTACAATTTATTTTGNATATTTATTATACTCATGTTAAATAGTACAAATCCTAATGTCCGTTTTAATCATTTAGAAAAAATATTTTTGAAATAAAGCCAGGCGCGGACTGGCCCACCGGGATACCGGGAAAATCCCGGTGGGCCCCCCAAAAATTATGATATATGGGCCCCTTGATACTACGGCAAATCAGTTAGTAAAAGCCAACTGCCTAAATTTTAATAATTTTTTTTTTTTACAAAAATCTACAGTTTCCTTCCTGACAAGCAAAAAAAAAAAAAAGTTATCAAAAATTGTTATGTAGCGCCGTGTCACTGATGACTACTCTGCTCGACCACACAGCTCGCACGTCTTAATACCGCCACTTAGTCCTCACGGACATGTTGGAATGACCCGAAGGTCTTATGAGTCCTCTTGCATTTTGGATAAGTTAAATACTATTTTAAGAGCATAAACTTATCAGATTTATTTATGTAAATCGATAAAAATATCTGATTATCAAATATGTCGTCTGCTTTTAATTCGCGGAAGTCGTCAGAACGTGTTTGACGGCTGATGTGTCCGAATTGATTATATTTACGATTATTATGATAAAAATTAACGACCGATCCGTGTGTTGCCCATCGTCTGTATTGTATCATAAAAATCAATAAATAGCATATCGATATTTCTCAATTTGCGATATCCTTTTATCATGATTTTATATTTATTAATGATTTCAAAAAAATATTTTTGTTTGTTTTTTATTTGAAATCTTGATCATTTTCATTTTACTCGTCAATGGTAACTATCGTTATTGCGTCTTATGAGTTTTGGTAACTGCTTTATTGTTTGGTGAGTACTTAAAAATTATACTAATATACATTATACTATAATTTACGAGTAAAATAATATATTAAACATTAACATTGTTGTTTGTAAAACATTAAATGACACGTATGACACCATGTCTGAATTGAACCAGGGAGCTACCGAGAAATTATTTATAATTATGTCTAAGTGAAACAATTATTATTTTATTTAATTTATTCGCGCCAAACAGCAATTTACATAATGTTTACAACTAAGTGATTTAATTAATTAAAGATTAAATATATAATAATAAAGTAATTAGTGATATAACAGAGAGGTGCTAGTAAAAAAATGCTAATGGCGTTGATTGACACTACGAAGCATACAGTATAGCAAATTATTATGACTATAAGAGATGGATTGAGTAGGAATATAAATAAATGTACGATTCTTTGAGGGGTAGGTCAGATCGCGAATAATGAATTCTTCTACTAAAAAGTGATCACGAAAGAATAATTATGTTTTTTTCTTTGACTAGGATGTAAATAAAATAAGAGATGAGTACAACAGCTTTTGTCGTATGGGCTGACTCTTTGTTAAGGGCTGAAACTTAAAATCTCGGTAGGCTGAAAAGTCTCGATCCGACTCTTTATGACATGTATACTAATTATAATTAGGAGTGCATACAATAATTACGTAAATCTATAACCATAGCGTATAAAATTATGTTTACTCATTCTTGCCTAGCAACAAATAAAAAATTTAAATTATACTGCACATATATTACAATGAAAAGAACATCCACATTAATCAATATTTATTAAGCTATGTGTAAAATAAGATATTTTTCCGTTTTTTCGATTTTACTAAAAGTTTTTAAAAGTTTTCATGGAGAACCCCATTTGTAATTTACCCATATTATGTAAAGTTTTCTTACCTTTCNCATGGAGAACCCTATTTGTAATTTACCCATATTATGTAAAGTTTTCTTACCTTTCTAAACATATATTAGAGAACTTCTGAAATTTTGGCAACACGAAAAAAGCAATTTTTTTGATTATAAAAACTCAATTTTAATGACTGTAACNATTTGTTTATAAAAACTCAATTTTAATGACTGTAACGCGAAAAAAATCAATATTATTTTTAGAAAAGTCAGATAATTTAACAAAAGCAACTTATTTTTCTATTGGTTTTTATGGCTGAAGTTAATATTAAAACGATAGCACATCTTTTTTTTTGAATACTTTCCCCTTTTCCGGGACACGAGAAGAATGTCTTTAACTAGATACGATTAGTGGTCTTTTTACGTATAGTTCATCAAAATCGGTCAAGTCTAAGCTGAGAAAAGTAGGTGGCAGATAAAAAAACCACATCATGGTAAAATAGTACTTTCTCAGCTTCGCATCGAAGCTAAAATTTAAAAAAAAAATAGTGTTTAGGAAAAAAGTAAAAATTATTTTTAAATAGTATTTAAAAAAATCCAAAAAAAAAATTGAGAAAATTNCTATTTAAAAAAATCACAAAAAAAAATTGAGAAAATTCTTTTTGTTGTAATAGACAAACATCAAGTAGTGTAATTTTAAAAATAACCTAGGGAGGCCGTTTTAAACATAATATTTCCAAACAAAATAATTTTTTACTAAGTTACGTTTTTTTTTATAAAAATTATCAAGTTTTGGAAACGAATAATACTACAATATTTACTAACCTGAAAATCATATTTTTAATTTTTTAATTAGAGTACAATTAATTTTGTATTTATTAGGCTAATTAATAATGGAAAAGGATAACATCGCCCAAAATAAAAAATATCATAAGAGCNTCCAAAATAAAAAGTATCATAAGAGCGGTTCTTTAAAACGAAAAGAACATAACAAGAAATGTCTTGAGGAGATAGCAAATAAATCTAAAAAAATGACAAATTATTTTTTAACTGCTTCGCAAGATAACCCCAATTTAGAGCCGATAAAGATACCTCGTAAAAATCATACACTCGGGAATTATGATATTTCTGTGCCACATTCATCTAGTTCTAAAATTCATTCGGACAATTCTGAGGTTAAAATTGATTTGCGTGATGACGAAAATATTGACCTTCAAATCACTAATTCTGAAGTCAAAATTGATTTATGTGATAACACAGATATTGACCTTCTAGTCAAAAATAATTTAAATATAAAGATTGACGATAAAACAAATTTTAATTATTTTTTAAAGCCCAAGGGTAAACAAAATATTAAATATTTTTTTTCGTTTCATCCAAATCACCCAGAGAAAATGATGGATGACTCTCCTTTACCATTTAATACAACTAAAGCTTATTATGAAATTATTCCAGGATCACAGACAAAAATCAAAAGAAATTGGTTATCCTATAGTCATGAACATAACTCTTTATTTTGTTCAATATGTTTAGTATACTGCTCTAAATCATCAGCTTTTACTAGCGATAGTGGATTTAGCAGATGGATTCATGTTTATGAGCGTATTAAAGATCACGAAGAGTCAAAAAACCATAGAGAAGCGTCAAAATGTTTCATGGCTGATCAATGTGGTAAAAGTGTTGATGAATTAATAGAAAGAGTGCAGTGGGTTCAGAGGGAAAATGAAGTGATGAAGAGAAGAAGAGTAGCTCAAATAATTATTGATATTGTTAAAGTAATTGGAAAACAAGGATTACCTTTCAGAGGATTCAGATATGAGTCTGCTTACGATTTAAAAAATATATCAGTAAATCATGGGAATTTTTTGGAAATAGTATTATTGATAGCAAAGTCGAATGTAGAATTAAGTGATCATATTACTAAGGCAATAGTTGAAAGTGAAAAGAAGTTGAAAAGAGGTAAATCTGGTAGAGGAAATTTGTTTACTTTTTTAAGTCACAAGACTGTAACAAATGAAATTCAAACTATTGGCGAATTATTGTTGTCTAAGATATCTAAAGAAGTTAATGTGGCTAACAACTATTCCATTACAATGGATACAACTATGGATGTTTCAACTCATGATCAATGTGTAATTGTTTTGCGATATTTGAAAGAGAATGTCGAAAATGAAAAATCTTCAGTAGAAATTAAGGAAAGAGTTATAGCTTTGAAAAAAGTAATTTCCTCTTCAGGACAAGGCTTATTTGATTTGTTAAAATCAACTTTAATTTCTAAAAATATTAGATTAGATAAATGTATTGCAGACGCCTTTGATGGAGCCGCTAATATGAATGGAGAGTACAATGGAGTCCAGGCAAAACTTAAAGAACTGCTTCCAAGGCACATTCATACATGGTGCTATGCTCACGTATTGAATCTTGTACTGCAACAAACAACTTCGAGTACGGTTGTAGTAATCTCTTTTTTCGGTCTTCTGCAAGAATTATTTGTTTTTTTTAAAGAATCTTATAAAAGGCTCAATGTTTATGAATGTCAAAGTAATTCTGGCCGTCAATCACATTTGATAAATATAGGTGTAACTAGATGGAGGTCTAAAAATGATGCCCTCATAAAAATATTTGGTCGTATTAGTATGTGGACAAATGAAGGCGAAAATGAAGAAAGAAAAAAACTGACTTATGTGTCAATTGTTTTAGCACTTTATGAAATATCTTTTTCTAATAGTTTTGCAGCTGGTGTAAGAAGTACAGCACGAAGTTTACTAAATCGACTCACGAGTTATGAAACAACATTAACAGCTATGATGTTTCTACAAATATTTAAGTTCACTACTGCTCTGTCTGATTATTTACAAACATCTAGTCTTGATTATATACAGGCCTGGCGAAAAATTGAAGTAACTATAAAGTCATTAAAAGAAAATCAAAGAGAATTTTCATCGATAAGTGCAGCTGCAAAAGAATTTTCAATATTTACATCCGAAGTTATATGGAAACACGAAACAGAAATTGATATTGAGTTAGAATTACCTCAAAAAAGAAGAATAAACATTCCACGACGTTTTGAAGATAACCCCAACATTGACCCGGAAATTGGAGCTTCTCCAGAAAAAATTTATGAAATAAAAACTTTTAGTGTCGTTATGGATACTACTATTGCTTGTTTAGAGAACAGATTTTCTGGTAGTAATGAGTTGTATGGTGATTTTGAACTATTTGACCCAAGGCGATTTATAAATATCAGATAAAATGGAATACATTCACACGGCTTAAACAAGATTTGTGAACTATTACCACATATTGATAAGCATGCATTAAAAGAACAATTACTGTCATTTGCCGAATTCTGGCCTAAAATTTCAAAAACAAATATCAATGACGTAGACGATATATATAATCAAACAGTACAAGATGAATCGGACTTTGAAGATTACATGCAAAATGAAAACATTGAAGAAAAATGTACAAATATAAGAAAATGTAACTCGTGTTTATTGTGCGTGACGAACATAATTTATGAGTTTAATATGTATTCTTTGGAATATAAAGAACACTTCGACGTATACAAATTTTTGTTGACTATTCCTTTAACTCAAACAACCTGTGAGAGATCATTCTCCAAACTGAAATTGATTAAGACGCGATTGAGAAACACATTAACTCAACCAAATTTAGAGTCAATATTCATCATGAATTGCGAACGTGAATTAGTAGATGAAATAACTAATGACGAAATAATAGATTCCATGTGTGAGAAAAGTTTAGAAATGTTTAGATTATTAAAAAATTAACTGAATATATTTGTTAATTTTGTAGTTTTACATTCAGATTCACATTTTCAAAAATTACATATTATTTTATAATACGTTGCTGAATATTTTGTAAACTTAACTTCTGTATTAGTTTAAAGTATTTAAAATAATTACACTATTGTTCAATTTCACTAATTTATTAAGATTAAATCAGCCATTAAGTTAAAAGTTTGTTTATAGCATTTATAGCGCAAAGGGAGACATTAATACGTATAACTTAAAAAATATATATTATTTTAACTTAAAATTTATGGTAAAGATTTTAAACAAAAATAAAGAATTTCATTAATACTGATGCTAGACTATTTAATCAAAATATTCCCTAAAAAATACACTACTTAAGTCACCATTTTTGGCCTAAATTTTATTAAAGACTTTTTTTTTTTGCTCAACCAGTACAAAAAATCGGGTGGACTCCCAGGAGCTTTCCCGCGAAAGTTTTGCCTATGGGCCCCTTTAACNTTAAATCTATAATATTTTATAAAATGTTTCTATTTTCTTACTTGTTTTTTAAAACATGTAAAATTTATAGTTTTTATTTTGAAAAAAATTATAGATAAAATTTTAATTTAATATTTTGTGTTTATTTTTTATACTGATTAAAACTTAGAAAACTCTTTATTTTAATGAAATTAAATTTTTTGTATTCAGTACTCAGGGAGTGGATACACTGTTTATTATTTCACTATTATGTCATATGTCTGTTATCAAATAGTGGTTGTTATCATTATATGTTTAGATTTTATCGACTGCCGACTTGTCAGTGTATTTATCTGTACATAGTGTAAACAATCGTCTAAGATACAATATTATTTGTATTGATAATTTTTAAATTTGGAAGTGTTAAAATCGGATTTTGTGTTGTAATTTTAGTATAATATGAACTTGTCACCGTATAGACCGACTTTAATTGGTCAAATACGCCTAGTGTTTTTATTAGATGTGGTAGGGAGATTAAATTAGTGAAAATCAGTACACAAACAATTACATATATGGAGGATACAGATAGTTCAGCTGAACCCAATGAAATCAAAAGACCTGAGCAGGTCGTGATGATGGCAACTGCGGACAATTTGAAATTTGGCGTTCTTATTGGTCTTGTCAAAGTAGGCCAAGTTACGAACAAGGAGGTGGTGAACACCGTGCTACACTTGGTAAGTTAATTAGTTACTATTGTTTAGATCATAAAAAACTTGGCTTTTCTTAATTTAATTATTCAAAATAAAGCAATATTGTCTTTTACTCTACTTCTGTAATCTTTAACAATCAAGTGTGCTGTAGACTAGTTAATTAATACAGAATTTCAATTTCCTATTCCAAGAGTTGAGTGCGCTATATTGTTTATCCTGGTTTGCATTATTATAAAAAAAAATGTGTTCAAGGTCTTTTATTTCATTAGAGCATGCAATGTTTTATAAAATTAGGCCTTTATATATATCACATAATAATGTTTTTTTATGATTATTTTAAATATACTACTCAAGTTAAAAAACTTTCAAATTTCATTGAAAAGTAAGTTACTTATAGAAATTTATTTTGGTGTTTCTTTATAAAAGATTTGGATTGTATTAGTTGAGTTCTAATAACTTTAATTTAATGTTCAATGTAATACTTAAGAGAAACCTCAGAAAATACAATTTATATTTAATTAAATATATACACATTTTAATATTTAAATGAAAATGCTCAAAATATATATAACTAAGTAGAAAAACATCTTTAATTGTTAAGAACTATATTTTCTTCAAAGAAAATTCAAGTAGCAAGTCTGTTAGGTTTAACAAAGTTAAATATATTGTTTCCCTAAAATAAATTAAAATTATCAGAAGTATAGTAATTGTGTAATTATGCAGGTGACTTTTCTTAATAATTGTAAGTAAATTTTAGAATGAGAAGTTTTGTAATATGTCTATACAATTTTAAATTATTGTGTAAATAATAAATATTGTTGATAAAAAAAAAATGAAATATTCCGTATATTGGTAGTAAAAAATATGAGTATTTTTTTAGTTTTCACTAATACTATTTGTTGGTTACACTTATTATTTTGATTGGATTAGAATTAGAATAATAGTCTTATTATTTTATATCTGTTTGTATTTTATAGAAAATTATATAAATAATATCTTGGAAATATGTTGATAGTTATTTATCCGAGAACATTGAATAAGGTCTTTTTAAAAATCTGGATGATATTTATGTAAATTTATGTATTTACTAAATACCTAACACAATATTTAGTTTAAAATATTCAAAATATAATCCAATTATTTGGTTTTATAGCAAAATGATTATTTATTTATGAATAACTAATGCGATTTCTTTAACACTAGTCAATTTATAACTTGTTAAATATTAAGTAAATATTTGTGGAGTACTATTAGTTTATAAAAATTTATATTTTTATACTACTAACAATTTGACCTGGATGTAGAAAGGTAATTTTAGTATTATAACATTTTTATTTCTAGTACAATTTGAAATTCAATTAGATATTGATTTTTTCCTTTGAAGTATATTATATAAAATTAAATAAAAAATATGTAAATTTTGTTTATTAAAAATTATCTCTAGGGAACAGATTTATACTCAAAATTAATCCTAATTATTTTGTATAAGTTATTATAAATATTTAAGAATAATTGGACTATTATTGATTGATTGATCCTATAAACATATATCATATTCAAGACTAACTTTGTTTTATGTTAATTTATTGACAGTGTAGCATTTGAAGTTTCTGTCTAAAAATTGAAATTTTTAATCAGTAGAATAAAATCAAAAACTTAGTAATCATACAATGTTCAATTACCTATTACAAATTAAAACATTGTTTTTAAGTCAAAATAAAATTGTAAATGTGTTTTGTTCATTAGTAGTTCAGTTTAATCATCTCCTCCAGTCATAACTTCCATGAATTCTGTAAACATTTTTTTTTTGTTAAATTACTGTTTAATATAAATAATCTAATTATATTTATAATATTCTATAGCAATTTTGCAAGATTATAACATATTTAAAAATAGTAAATTTAACTTTGTTTAATCATATAAATATATTGAGATATTAATGTTAGTAATCAATATAGTAATCTTTTTAACTTTTAGGAATAATTAAGTATAAATAACAAAAAGCAAAATAAAAAAATGATAGAAGACTAATTAAAATTTTTTTTGACAAATTCATTTTTCGGATACAGAAATTATCTATGAACATCTTGTTTACAATATACTCAAGACCTAATAGACCACCATCCTGGTAAAGTGTAGTATTAAATTTCTAGAATTACTTCTGTAAATTAATACTTTAGTATGATAGTTTCAAACATTTTGTAGGTTAATTCTCCATTTTACGATCCCATGCCTCAAAGATTTTTATGTGTTTCTACACTGAAGTGTTAGTTGTAAATTGTAGTGATTAAAATAAATCGTGTAATCTACTTTTCATTAAATGTTAGAAAAAGCTTCAATAGATTACAAATTTTAACGAAAATATAATGAAATAACTAAATTACTACAAAATAATTAAGGGTAAAAAAGTGGGAATATTTGTTATTTTTAATTTCTTAACAAAAAGTCATTATTGATGATTTATTATGTTTACTTTAGTAAAACATTGTATGTTTATATTGAATATAAAATTAAATTAAATACATTTCTCTTTATTAAATTTATTGTCGATATTTCAAATTAACACTTGAAAAATAGTTGTATAATTCTCTAAAAGTTTTTTTGTATTTAAATATAATTTAAGTACAATAATATTTTTTTAACGGAAAAAAATTATTTAGGACGAACTCGGTAGTCGATATGACTACTGAATTCGGTCGCCAAGAAAAGATTGTTGGCATTTTACCAGCTAAACATATCGTTCCACTCAATATATTTTTGATACTTATTTTTTTTGATAAATTTATGTATTTTATTATGTAAGAAAATAAAGTTTTGATTTTTTGTATAGATATATAATCATATAATTTGTAGAATCTCACAAACTCAAGTTAGATATTTGGTAAAAGTTGCATAAATAAAATAAAAAAATAGTGACCCCAAAATTCTTAAGAGTTATTTATCATCTGAATAATTTCGTGTTTATTATAAAAATAATCTTATAAAATTATTGACGGGTCTTATTATAGATTAAAGGAGATACGTAAAGATTATTCATATGACGACACTTTGTGTATTTTCTGGAGAACTAAAAAATTATACAATTGGAGTGACTGGTAAATTGTCTAATAATTAATAGATTTATCTAAATTTATTAAAATGGTGGAAAATTTCCTGTGCTTGGGTTAGATTATAGACGGCTTACAATCTCTTTGTATACTTATGATTTAATTTGTTAATTTTCAAAATCGCGTTAGTGTAATGCCGTTATTCTTTAAAAGAACTTCAGAAAAAATGTTTTCGTTAATGGTGACTATTATTTTAAGTAATTTATTTCATAAACTTCACTACTAAATACATAATATCATTTTAAAGTAATAATTGTAGAATATTTGTATCAATATTTATAGAATTAATTATTTTAAAGAAGTTACTGTATAATAAATGCTTTTATTTATGTACAAACCATCAAAATCTACTGTTCCCGAGCCATCCGAATCAATTTCTTCTATCATCATGTCTAAATCTTCATTGGTTATTTTATCATCTAGCTCTTTGAGAATTTCTCTGAGAACTACTGTGGTTATGTAACCGTTTCCTTAAAAAAAATTACATTAGTTAAAAAAAAAAATGTTAAAAACAACCTGTTAATACCTTCTTTGTCGTATAACCTAAATGCTTCTTTTAATTCAGCTTGCATAGCTTCAGCATCCTCAGGTTCATCTTCTGTCAAAAAACCAGCAGCTAGTGCAACAAATTCTTCGAATTCTAATTCCCCAGAACCTATCGATGTTAAATATAACAAATTTATCATACCCTATAGTATTGCATTAAGTATCTATATTTAAATTAAATTTCCGACAAAATCAATTTTCGTAAAAATTTTAATTGGTATTTTATAACACAGTGAGAAACTTGTCTTAGTATCGTACTATTAACGATTTATTTATTTATTTTATAACCATATAATAAATTTATTTTTACAAATGAATTTCCAATATATGTATGTAAAAATGGTTATCTCGTCTTCTCTTAAATTTCAATAATTTTAGTAAATAAAAAACAAACCGGCTAGATTAAAATTAACTTAAAAAAATTGAGAAGGTTCTGTTATCGAACGGTATTTTGATTTCTCATGGTATATTTAAATGTTAGCATAAGAGTTTTAAATTTTGCCATTTAAGTTATGCATTGCAAATTAACAAAATTTCTTTACTTGGGTGTTAAAGAGTTAAAATATCAAACAATACCGATAGTGTTCATTTATAGATGAAGAGTGTTCAACTACTGGACCAGTTTTTCTATTATAATATAAATAATCAGTTTTACATCCTTTTATTTTCCGAACTTAACATGCTACAGAGGGTGGTGGCGGCCCTCTTTAACTTGTTAGGGAGTCAAAGATGGTTCTTAGCTAGGCCAATGAAAGAATTATAAGAAAAATTTCGTTGGTACCTTGAAGATCGAACCCAGGACTCCGTGCGCTGAAATATGCTTTTCTATCCATTAGTCGCCGAACTGGCCCTACTAGCATATGTAGATTTTGTAGTTAAGTTGTTATCTATTTCTTTTCTGTTTGTATTTAGATTTCATTACAAAATAGTTTTGCAATAATGATATGTAAAAATTGAATAATTTTATTGATATTTGGTCAATTATATAATTTGCTTTTATTTTAAGTTTAATTAAAATTTTCATTTAATAAAATTATTCTATTTAATACCGAGACCTCATATGAAAAAAGATGTGTAAAAATTATTGTAATAACATTAATAGATAAACATTTTTGGATGCTTACCATCTGCATCGACTTCTGCTATAATTTCTTGTAATCTATCTTCTGATACTTCATGTCCCAACATCTGTAGAATTGTGCCTACCATGTTTGTTTCAATATATCCTAAGTCTTGAGCAAAAGCATCAAATGCTCTCTTTAAGACTAAAAAAAAATTCAATATTACCATTTATCAAATTATTAGACATCAATGTTCAAATGTTCAATTTTAATTTAAATCTATTAGAACTTAATTAAATATGAAATATTTATAATGTAATAGTTTTAGGTTACATAAAAAATAGTTAGGTATACAGTTAGACTGAAAATGAATAATTTTATCGGGTTGTAAGAGTTGCAAAAGAAACAATTAAAAATCATGAAAATGAATTTTTTTTAATAGTGTTATAATATAAGAAACAAAAAGCTTAAAATCGATTTTCTGGAAAATGAAATAAATTCAAATATAGTCTTTGCATTCTAAGTGCTTTATATGATTGTGTTACTACTTGGTTTTCGAAAATAAAAATTGTATTATAAATTTATGAAATATGTGACTTACGAGCTATTTGATCCTTGTCGAGGTCATCCTGTAAATCATTAAAATTGGTGAATTGTTAATTTATGTTATGAAAATATTTTATTTGTAAAAATAATCTTTACTTTCGATGCCATTTTTTTATTAATTGGTCAACGTATAATTTGGATAAAACTTTTAATTAATTTTTTTGCTTGTCTTTAACTACAAGTGAAATGTCTAAGAACAACTAAAATAAAGTGACGACTACAATACTTTAACCAGCGATAGACAAACGTCAAATAATTAAATGGTCTGAAGCCAAGTACCGATTGTCTCTCTACCAGCTACTGCTAAAGTTAATATTACTCCCATTTGCACTGTTTATTCCGTTAAATTAAATTATAAATTAAAAATAAACCTGAGCATATTTTATAACGTCATGGACTGTTATATATTATAAATAAGTAGGCTTCCAATAATATTAAAAAAACGTAGGAGAACACAGGAAATGGTGCGCATGGGGTAATGTTCTCAATAATTTGTAACTTAGTGGTTTTTAGACTTAATTATTAGAAACAAAAATTATCATCTGAAGCAATTTATTATATGTATAAAATTAGATAATAGTGTTATCATTTCTATATGATTAAAAACCAAAAAAGGAAAAATGTCAGTAAGTGATATATAATTTCAAGTTTTTTAAAAACCACTAATCAAAAATTTTAAAGCTAATGATTGTGTTTTGTATATATATTTATAGATAATGTTATTTTGTAAAAAATAAAAATATATTAAACTTGTTTAATATGCTGAAATTTATAACAAAAACATTATTTTAAGTTATTTGGGATAATATTGTGCATTTGGTTTGGAAGAATCATGCACACTTATTAAACCAGGATTACCATATCTAATAAATATGCTATATATTTTATTAGAAAAATTTGTAAATTATTTAAAAATTAAAATAAAAGTAAAAAAATAATTAATAAGAAATAATCTTAAGAAATAATTTGTAGGTAATTGTCTTTCATCTTGGGTTGAGTTACTCCAGCTAATTTTTAAAACTCAGGGGGAGTAAATGATCTTAAGGAACTGAAGTACTTTGCTGTCAGAAATTCTTACGATGTTCTATCTCATCAAATACATCTATTTGAAACAGATTTGGGTGACTCTAAATTAGAAAAATCGAACCGCTTTACTTGTATACTTAATAAATATTTTATTTTATTAAAATAATATCTACTTCAAAAAAAATATATTTCAAATATAATTTGTAAGTTTCATAGTGATTGCTAGATAGTTAAATAGTAATTTAATAAATTTAGATTTGGCGACTGTATGAATAAATTAATGTTTACAGGATTTGTTTTTCCTTAAGTGTGTTCTATTCCCCCGTGTTCACCATATCTAAAAATAATGTGCTATACCCTTTATTTATATTTTAATTGTCATTTTTGTACATAACTTATTTATGCAATTATTACTATGAGCTCATAGTTCTTTAATTTAAAGAAAACTGGTTACTAAAATTATCAATTTTATCATAAATATTCTTGGAAAAAACTAAAAGTATTATTACTAAAGTAGTTAATATTAAAAAAAAAGTTGTAGCAATACAAGGTTATAGATTCGACTAAACAATGTGCTGTGTAATTGTTTTTCTTTAGTTAAAGTTAATTTGTTTAATAAATGGTTTTAAATTAGTATAATTAAATTAATATTTTAATTTTTTCTGTAATTTTAAGTACAGAAACGTAATTTTCTAATGTTTGGAAATAAGAACATTAATCATACAAATTATAGATTATATTTTGATTTTTTAATTAATTAAACTGAGAATAGTATTATATTTTATATAAAAGCTTAGATAAAAATAAATTATTTAATTTGTGAAAAAATTATGTTTTTTTAAAATGATACATTATTTTTCCAATCACATTATTGGAATTATCTAAGTTATCTGAAGTAATTTTTATAAATAAGTCGTGCATATGACACTATTTTGGCATCCGGTTTAAGATCAGCTCAGTTTAAATATAAATTTGGGTTGGCGACTATGCAATCGATCATTATTTACTTAAAATTCTTTTAGCTTATTGTATTTTTGCAATACTGTTTTTTTAGTTGCAAAATTTGATTAGTATGATATATTTTACTAATATTCATATTTTTGTTATAACTCATAATATATAAAAATAAATAAAGATGTTTTAATTAAATTAAGTAAGTAAGTTGTGAATTAATGAATTAATTATTAATAGATTGTTTCAATACATTGTTCGTAACAAGATGTGTATTTCTGCTAAATAATGTTGTATTATGAGCCTAATTCTAAATTGAGTTATTTTTATATCGTGTATGTTTGTGGTTCGAGGGGTTTTAGAAATATAATTTTCAAAAAAATCATATATGTATATGTGTGTAATATATGTAGTAAATAAATATTTATGAACTTACCAAAATACAAGGTAATCGCCAACTGTAAAGTAGCAGCCCGAACGAATTTCACTCTATATGTGATCTATTTCGTCAAAAGTACTTGTTTTATTTTGGACTTTTATTGTTTGCCCATTCAAATCATAAATGTTCTATTTTTTTTTTTTAATAATAATTTATACACTATTTTGTTTACCATTTTGTAAGTCTTTAAATAATTTTAATACATAATTCTTTCATAATAATTCTTCAAAAAGAACTCGTGTCAATTTTTTATGTTGAAGTCGAAAATATTTCTTCAAAAAGTAAATTTGATTTTAGATTTAAAGAACGGCATTAACCAAGTAACTGGACTAATCTGGTGAACCAAAAGAACAATCACTTAATTTTAGTTTCGTTTTATGTATTTTTTTTAATCGCCCCCATAATGAGGAATAATTGCATTATTAATCCTTTCATTTATTGATTTATTATATTAATTATTAAATTTAATAAATAGTTAACATAAATTTGAATTAATTGATATATGTAATAGACAGTAGTTTTTTTTAGAAAATTTTTATCTTAAAACAACAGTAAGGTATGGCGTATATAATACAATATTTACGATCGTGTAAATTTCTTATCTCATAGAATGAAAAATTAATTTAATTACTGGAAGTTAATTAACTTAATAGCTGCTTCAGTATATTTTAATTTTCTGTATACACATAAAGGAAGTACGTTTGTCAATATACTTTACTGTTACTCGTGTTCGTAAAAAGTTGACTTGATACATTTTATATGTGGTTATATGGCATATAAGTTAAAAACTTTCAGCAAAGAGTTATGCTCTTTAATTTTAATCGATTTACAGACATTAGTAGTTTAGCATCAAAAAGTGGTTAATGCGTAAGAGGCGGTAAACTTATGTAATGTATTTTATAATAAAAGAATCTTTTGCCTTTCGTCCTTCGTAATAAACCTTTTTGCATGTTTCCCTCTGATTACTATTGATAATATATTTATACTCAACCTTAACCACATTATGTCAAACAATAATATTGGTTATAAAACTAATAATTATTAAATGAGAAATTGTATGTACTCAACCAGCCAATATAAACTCTGTTGTTTTAGAGTAATATGTATAAATTATTAATATTTTATATCAAATTATTATCAGAGTACCACGCTTGTAATTTTAGTAGATAATTAAATAATATGTATCAGAGGTCGGTTAAAAAAAAATATTGTTTAAATATATTTTAATGTTATCTTATAATAATTATAAAAACTCAATTATTGAGTTTAATATTAAAAATATCGAAAACATAATTCACTGTCGTTTACAGTGTAGGCAAATGGTTACTTTTTTCTTACATATATTTTTTTGTAAATATAACTTTTAAAAATAATGTATTTTTGTTTTAATAAGAATGGTTATTTTACGCTACAAGTTTTATTGTGCTTAACAATATTTTACGTTTATTGGTTGTTCATATTTTTGTTTTTCGTATTAATAATAATGTTATTCATAACGTTCAATGAATTATTGGTATTCACTTGATACAAAACAAAAATGAAAAATAGAAAACCCTGACAGATCTCTGGGCATTATTTGATGTTAGATACTTTGTGGATGAGCGTATTTTTTGTAAAAGCTCAGACTAAGTTAAACGAACCATAACGTAAATGTTACAAATCAGATTTTTTTAATAAATTACTTAAGGGATTTCTTTAAGATAAAATCGAAAAATCTTTTTTCGAGAAATTTAAGAAATAATTATAAGAATCAATGTTAGTAATATTTATAATAAGTTTTTATCCTTTACAGATACATTTAGTAAATGTTAGGCAACTGTCTAGTTATTGAACAATTTACTTCATCTATAAAGTTTATGAACTGCCATAACTAACAAAAACTAATTGTTATAAACAATGTGTAAAGCTGACAATAATTCATTTTAATTGATTCAGTTTAATCATATGAAAATACATGCAAAAATGTTGAAAAGCTTTAATTTATCTAATTTTGAGTGGGAGTATAATATGAATGATAAAGAATCGTAGTACAAACTAATTTAACCTGTTATATTTTTATAGAATAATCATTTTTGTTAATAGTTTTAACTTGTAATTTTAAATCCATTAATTATTAATTTCAATCTAATTCTTGTTATTACTGAAATATCAAGTTATGTGTTTTATGATATAAAGATAGCAGCACCGTATTGTATTGCTTATCGCGCTACCCTCTGCCGATTGTTAGTTATTAGGGGAGGCTGTCTGTAGTCCAACACGCACCTCGGCCTGTAGTCGTGGGTTTATCGCACGCCGGTAAGTCTGCTGTTGCTATTTTATCGTATATTTTTTAAATCGGAAAACGAAATCGCATTGTTCGTCGGGTGTAATTGTGTCGTTCGAGTTTTCAATTTACTCGTACCGATTATAGTTTTTTTCAACTGGCCAAAGTCACGTTCCGTAGTTTTTGATTGTGTGTGTTCGTGGTTGAGTTTGGCGTTTGACTCGATTCGTTCGTTACGTGTTTATTTTATCAGTATACTCAAGTAGTTTAAAAATATTCTTATGATATATCGTTCATGACCGTGTGAAATGTTTGTATATTGTGATGTGCTATAAAATCACTAAGACGATGACAATAAAAATATGTAATAATTTGTTCGACTGAAAGATTATTTAACATTTTCATCAAAGAGAATTTATCTAAACATAATAGGTTACACTTCATATCTATAATTACAAGAAATTGCTTCATCTCCGTCATTTGTGTTAATCGATAGTCAATATTAAAAATATATATATTTGTGTGATAAGATGCCCTGAACATGATTAAATTGATTAAAATATGAAATATTATAATCTCTCAGTGTAT